GTTTTCTCGACACGACATTTTTCAAAATTGCTGGCGTCATAACTCAACGAGAAACTGGCGGATCGACTTCAAATTAAAACTGAGTATTGTTGAATACATTTATAATACAATGATTTACGATCTTTCTGACTGGTTGAAAATTGTCAATTTGGCATTTTTTTACCTAAAAAAACTAAATATTTTTTCAAAATTACGCCATTTTGTTAATTTTTGATATTTTTGAAAGATCGTAGGTTATTGTATATAAAATATCTTTAAGTTGAATAAACTTTTTAAAAAAATTTGTTTCAGCTACGCATTCGGCCGGAATCATGCAAGCAGTTGAGACACTTTTTTTTGGCACCTCCAAAGACAGCCCAGAACTCCGTCATTTTTCAACATTTTTGTAAAACAAACAATTATAAAATATAGCTGAAAATATACCTTATTACGTTCAAAGAAGTTCGAAATATTCAATTGCGTACTTTTTCTTAAAAAAATTCACGAATATCGCCTAATTTTTCACTGGTATAGCTCCTTAACTAAAATACGTATTTTTTCTCTTTATATGATCCCGTAAAGAGTTATCCTGCCAACTCGGGTGCATCTGTTTTCCGAGGGATCACTGGAAATGGCGTCGCAATAGCCGAGTTAAAAATTTTTTTTTTCCAAAAATTTCAGAACTTTTTTGTTAATAGTGTATGTTTATAACAATAAAAAGTTTTTACAAAATATTTCATGTTTTATATGAGAAAAAATTTGTTGAAAAAGCTGTTTTTACCCGAGGACAGCCATGCATAACCTCTAAACTAGTGCTAAGTCTGTTTACAAATGAATTTTGCGAATTTTAGTTTCAATTATCGGTAATACCTCCTTCCATATGCGATATAAATATTTTTGTTAAATACACATCTTTTTACCTGTACAACGGTAGAGGCGAAAAATTAAAACTAAATATAATGGGAGAAGGATAGTTTTTGTCATATATTTGGATCGAAGCGACATGGAAATAACTTATTGTGCCACAAAATCGAAAATGATAGCTTGCATGTTTCAGGAAGGCGTACTAAAATATCCTTCATTACTTATTTAAAAATAAGGCAACAAATATGAAAAATTCATTGGACCGATATTGGTATCAAGTTACTGAAAACTGGATAAAGTGGGTGCTAACCATTATTCAAAATACTTCAGTCGATATTATTTAAAGATTAAATGCATATACTATGAACATTCTTAAAAATAGCACAACTCAAATATAGTTATTTTATTTCATTTCATTTTGACATACACCTTTATTTAATTTTATATGGTATCCAGTGCTAAGAGAAACGCATTAATGTTGAACACATATTAGGTTGTCAAAAAAGTCTTGCGGTTTTTTCGCTAGTTGGCGCTGAGAGCGCGTAGTTCTAGTTTTATTCGTCGCATCGGGTCATGCTATACATTTTCGGAAAACTCATTTCACGCGCTTACACGTGTTTGATTGATTGTCGTTTCTTTTAAGTCGTTCGTGTAGCGTCCCAAACATGGAGCAAAATAAAGAGAAAATAMGGCATATTTTACAGTACTACTACGATAAAGGCAAAAATGCATCTCAAGCCGCCAATAAAATTTGTGCAGTTTATGGACCCGATACAGTTTCCATTTCCACCGCACAACGATGGTTTTAACGTTTTCGTTCTGGTGTAGAGGTGGTCGAAGATGCGCCACGCTCCGGAAGGCCTGTCGTCGAAAATTGCGATAAAATTGGTATAGTAGTAGCCGTAGCATCCGTCAAGAGCTGGGCATGAGTTATCAAAAAAATTTTTATGAACAATTGAAAATTGAAAAAAAATTCAATAAAAATACCGCAAGACTTTTTTGACAACCTATTATTAGAAAAATTTAAAAAAATTACAACTTTGGCGCGTTCATCTAACACTCTAACAGTTTTCCAATAATCCTTTTAATTTTTCAAATTTAAAAACATTATATTTTTCCGGCACGAGTTTAACGTGATTGACAGTGAATTCATGCGTGATTATTAAGTGAGCTGTACGGGCACTTCTGTCAGTCAATCACTCAAGTGGCGGTTTGCGTGTTGGCGGCGTTGTGACATTTGATTGTCATTTTAAATGTCAAAATAAATTTGCTTAATATGTATAATACTTTTTTTCTAAAATCTTTGATGTTAACAATTTGGGGCCACTTATACTACATATTCATGTGTAGAAAGTTTAAATTGGAAAACGCTTGACCGCAAAAATGTAAGCTCTGAAGTCCATTTTATAATTGTTATGCAATGCATTTCGAATTGAATCACTTAACTGCCAAGTGTGGTTTGCTAAATTGTCATTAACAGTCACATAATTATTTTTATACAATTTATATTGTTGTTGGTTTTAACTGAGCTTTTTTTAATGACATATTGGCAAGGATAGGCACGCAAAAATTTCCTTGGATTGTGCTTAAACAACGTCAAACACTGCTGTGTTGTCCAGAGATCCATCTTTTCGACAACATATTCCACCGATATTGCTATTTTTCCACTTACTTAGACTTATATTTATGTATACCATGATATATGCTTAATATATACTTATAAAACGGTGTATATATCATATTATGGTGTAAAATTCGTAATAATATTATTATATGCGATACATTTTTCATTAAATATATTTTATTAATGCAAGCCTTCTCAATGAATGTTTCAACTTTTTTGCCGCATAGTTTTGCTTCCTTTTAAGACGAATTTGGTTTTTAAACTAAGTCAAACATTAACATTTGTATTTGTGTATGCATGTACGCATATTTTTATATACATATACTATAACTGAGGAAAATAAATATTGGCACGCCACGCCCGTAAACACACAGAAGTATTAATGTATTTTGGGTTTGTTTAAGCTTTTGCCTCCGAGAGTGTACCACATTTGTTTTCATTTTTTTGAAATTATTTTCTGTATTTTTTTGTCCAATATTTTTTTTGTATTTATTTAGAATTTGCCGCTCTCGTCGCTTAAATATTGTGCCAAGCATTAATCGATTGCTTTGTCAACGTAAACTCAAAGGCAAATGTGTGCCACCTCGGCTATTGCAAATATTTGCTTAATTGCTTAGAACGCAGCTAGAATGTTAATGAACTACACAAAAAAAAAGCAAATTAAATACTAAGAGAGCTGTGCGTATACTCATGTATAGTATAAAAAAAAATTCTTTTGTTTTGTAGAATATTTTGTTTATTCATTTAATTGAGGCACTCCTGGTGATATGTAACCGAGTGACAAAAAAAAAAACAAGTTTTTAGGTTAAAAGAGATATTAAAAAAACATATAAACAAATTTCAGATGTTTTTATTGTGACTTTTTAGGCTTAATTCAGTAAAATAACTTTGTATTTGCAATTTATTCATTTGCTTAGTGCACCAAAGGAGCATGCCAATGTGAAAATAGCTATACAACTTCTGATAACTTTAAGAAAACTTCTCAGATTGATAGCTTAATTTGAGTAGATTTGAACTTAGTACAACTACAGGATTTGTCAGGAAAGTTTTAGGACTAATTTTCTTCCAGCGCGACTACACTTCGGAACGTGCGCGCACCGACTAGATTCGGTAGCGGGCGTTCCTGGCTGACAAATGAGCGACTGGTCAGTTGTCTTCGAGCACCCTTCTGTGAGTGGTGCAAACCGAAAATGCAGCCGAACAAAGGTAAATACTGCGTGAAACTTGTTAAATCTGCCACAGACACGTTTGATATGATCAAGTAGGCTTACCCAAATGTTGCTTAAGTAAGTGGTGTGTTGTTTCGGACCGACACACGCCATCGTCTCCTCGCCCAGAAAAGGAAATAATGAGCAAAGACAAAGTGAAAACGATGCTCATTGTCTGTTTGACATCAAAGACATCGTGAACTATGAATTTGTTCCTCTTGGACAAACCGTCAATGCCAAGTTTTACATGGAAGTCCTCAAGAGACTCAAACGAAGAGTCAATCGGGTCCGACAAGACATTGCAGCCAATTGTGAACAGCTATCTAACCAAGGCAATCATCCTAAAGGTGCCGAAGCCAGCCTACAGCCTAGATGTGGCCTTCCCGGACTTTCTTCTGTTTCCTTGTCTGAAAAGGCCGATTAAAGGCAAGCACTTTGAGACAATAGAAAGGGTCCAAGCAGCATACACCTCGGCTTTCAAGGCTATTCCGGAGAATGCCTTCCGTGACGCCTTAAGTGCTTGGAAATCCCGCTGGCAGCGCTGCACCGACGCAGAAGAAGTTTATTTTGAAAGTTTTTAAAGAATTGTAACGATTGGTTTATTAATTTTAAATTTTTAATCGACTCAGTAATATTATTTTTCTGACAAACCCTGTATATAGATCATTCTTCATACGTATAGCAATAAATAATAACTTTAATTATTTCAATTTTCTACACTCCGTCGAGATGCCTAGCCGCAGTCTTTGAAAAGTACGGTGAAATTAATAATAAAAAAAACTTAAATTTCTGGTGCCGAAACATCGTGATAATTGTTTGTCACGAGCAAGAGTTTTTGATAGGCATAAACTATTCAAAGGGCGTCGAGAACGCTTTAACGGCGAACCACGGCAAAGATATTCATTAACATCAACACTTAAATAAAATAAAAATATAGGTGATTAAGAAACTACGATCTTACTGGCATCGTTGAAATAACGGAATGATCAGTGAAATTGGCTACAAAGTCAGTAAATTTTTTTGGAAAAACAGCGTCGCGTTAACGTCTGACCAGGATGTCATGAAAGATATTATTACATACAAAAACTTGATTTTGATAGTTCAAATTTTATGGCAGCATTATGCTATCATACAATGGTCAGATACAAGTTTTGACATATGAGCAGCTATAGATACAAACTGATAGACGGTCGGTTTAATCCAATCGGTCTCGAACGTTTCCTGTTTGGTGTTAGAGACTTTGTGAAAACTTTAATTTACGCTATATCAGTCACAAAATCATGGTACATGACAAAAATTAAGTAACTAATAAATATAAAATTTACCTTCACTACAAAATCACGTCTCTCCTCATCAACACCTTGTCCGCCTGCGGGCACCACTAAACGCCCGGACGAACCAAACACATTCTTCGATTGATGCATGTCGGAAATATCTTTCGTACTGTTATCACTTTTTAGGCTCATAAGTGTATTAAACGCAAATCCTTGCTCTTCATTCGCATTCAGCTCTCTATTGCCACTACGAAATCCGGGCGATATCTTTGCGCTGCCATTGAGAATTAGTGGCAACATCAATTTAGCAGCAATGTCAACACTGATTGATGATGCTGTAACTGATGCTGATGCTGATGGAGATGCTACCGATGATGGTGAAGTGCTGTAGGCACTCGAATTTATGAAAGCTGCGACAATAAAACTACTACGATTGCTTGGCGCTGGAGGTGCAGCACTATGAGCAACAAATATTGACGCATCAGATTGTAACGTAGTATTTACCTGTGGATTATTGACCAATGTTGCTGATGCATTCGCATTTTCATTTGTTGCTGCAGCGTTGCCTTTACTGCTAGCGGCAGCAGTATCTCTGCTTTGCGATCTTTCATGTGCCTGCTGTCGTCCCGAGAACTGCGTAATCGCATGCGTCGACGCTGCTGCCGCCGCATTACCACTATTTGCCGCAGCATCTACTAATGCTGCCGTCGGTCGTCCAATTAGCGTCGCACCACTGGCATCAACAACTGATGAGGCTGGATTTTGCTGCGGCATACCGTCATCCCCCGTTAAGTATGCTGCYGCTGCAGCTACAACTGAGTACTGCGCTGCGGCCGCTGGCAGCGATTGTGGGTGCGGGCCCACAGCCAGTGCATAGGGCGCGGAGAGTTCATCGAATTTGTATATATTTTTCGGGTGATTATTGGCGTAATTCATATCGCGCAATTCGGCGTCGTGTGAGCTCATGCTGTCGCTGGCGACTTTCTCGTTCAGCTTGATGATGTTGGACAAATTGAGATTATTGATCAGCGTCACGCCAGTAATGCCGACCAGCACGATGACGAAGCAGACGCCGCCAATTAAGAGCAATGGCGTTTTCGATGTTTTCGTGCACATTTTGGGCTGCTGTTTTTTTTTTTTTTTTTCGCTGAAATTTTCGTTTTCGGCGTTGAGCAAAATTAATTGATGTTTGGCGTTTTGCTGCGCAACTTTTTTATCATGGCAATTGGTTGATCGGATGTTTTTGCTTATTTTCTTCTTTTTTTGCTGATTTTTTTTTTTTTTTTTTTTTTGTTTTTGCTTTTATTCCACTGAGTGCTCGCTTTTATTTAAGCGCTTTAAATTCGAATTAAATTCATTGCTTTTTTGTTGCTCGATTTTCGTTTCGCTACTTTTGATTCGTAATTTCGTTTCGTTATTTGGACTTTTCTGTTTTTGTAAATATCACAATATTGATTTTGGCCGCACTTTGTACAATTTAGTTAAATATATATGTGGGTTATTTTCGCTATTATTTTGTGGTCAAACGTATGATACTTTTATTAGTACAAATGATGCCTCAACCGCAGAAATTGAGATTTATGATTCTTTAATTTTTATGCCCAAAATATGGCGAAAGTGGTTATTGCAATTTCTACTTTATTGCGCAGCATGAAATTGAAAAATGACTTTAATATATTTTGTTTATTCCATGCTAAATAATTATGTAAGAAGAAATGTTGCCTACATTTAGGAGCATTCAAAAACTCAAAATTTAAAGTTGAAAAGTGTGTAGAGGTGCGGGACTAAACTATTTTGTTGATGTTTGGCTGTCTCAAACGTAAGGTGAACCATCCATTTGAATTACCTGAAAAGTCGTTATAACCCCGATTATTAAAAATGTAAACTAACAGCTTTTAGCTATAAAGTATTTAGTTCGGAAGTACGAATACTAAATAGTTATTAAGACAAAAGAAACGTTAACTTTGGTTGAATCGAAGCTATAATACCTAAAGACTTAGAACGCAAAAATCAGTAAGCTAAGCTAAGATTAGACCCTAGACTAATCTTCCGGGTACAAATACAGCAAGCCACAGGAAAGTCAGCAAAAATTACCACCCAACTTAGCAGACTAATGGCTTACATAGAGGGGGGCCCAGCCCAGTGCAATAAATTCACTTAGAATCAATGAAATGTCATATAAACATTTTACTGAACAATAAAGATAGCAGATTCTAACGCACTAGTCGACATATAGATGGCGCCACCAGGGGGGATCTATGAGAAGAGAGTGGATAATAAGTATGATGTAAGGCTTCAAAATTTAAACACACACAGAGCATCAGAATCTTATGTGATAATAATTATAAGACGACTGGATGTAGCTTTGAACTTTTTAGGGGAACACTGAATATCTGGTACAAGGAAAATATACGAGTATAACATTTAAGGTCCATTTAGTACAATATTATGCTTATGGATTAATTTTTATAGATGAAATTTAAATTATAAAACAAATCTTACAACGTTGAGTTTATTCGTGAGCTTAGTGAAAACAATAGTGGTTCATTGTCCCAGAATGGATAACATTTCTTAGAATATTGTTCTAAATTTTCAAGTTGATCCGAGTAATAGTTTCGGAGATACAGTCTTGAGAACTTGTGCGCTCGAGGCTAGCTAGTCAAAGTGCGCCGTCTTTAAACGCATTTTTCTCGAAAATGTGTTTTTGAAGTCGGTTGGAAAGATTTCTCGATAACTACTCAACCGATCTTCATGAAATTTCACAGAGGTCTTTGATATACTACTCTTAAAGATTGGACGAAGGATTTCGATTACAACTATTTGAAAAAAAAAAATTAAAATAAATTTTTTTGTAAAAATATGTGCCAAAAATTCAATTACGCATCTTTTTCCCGAGAGATCACTGGAAATGGCGTCGCAATGATGTTTAAAATATTTTATTCCAAAAATTTCCAAATTTCTTTCTTAATATTGTATGTTTGTAACAATAAACAAATTCTAATAAAATGTTTAATTTTTTATCAAAGAAAAATTTGCTTCAAATAGGGTTTTTCTTTTTTGCCCGAGGAAACTAAAATAAGCTTTAGCTGTACAAAATTATTTAGATTCTTCCACTTTAATTAAAAGAGATCTAAAAAATAAAAAAAGGCCTTAATTAAAGCATCCTTCAACTACAAACGGCATGAAAAGCGCATAAATCTCAAGTATTTTTCATTTGCTTTGCAAATGCAGCAAATAAAGGCAACAAAGAACTGTAATTACCATACTCAATGTGCAAAATATTTAATGATGATTACAATAATAATGATAATGAGTGTTATTTACATAAAGTAATGGCGAAGATGAATGACAAAGGTGCGAAAGCCGTAATAATTTCGCCTAAACAGCAACAGTGGCTTTAATTTGCGAAAGTATGAAATTATCAAATGGGGAAACAAGAATGAAATGAAAATAAAGATGTGCACAAAGCAACTGGGAACAATAAATAATAATAATAAAGGTGTAAATTGCAAATAAAAGATCTACAAAATTATGAGGACACTGCAATAAAAACAAAAAAAGGCCTAAACGCAAAAATTGCAAACAAACACAACCAAAATTTGGAAAACAAAAGTAAGAAAAGAAAAAATTAAAATAAAAAAATTAAACAAAGAGCTGCGGTAGAGCAAGAGAAATGAAATGAGGTGTTAGAAAGTGCAAAATACATACACATTTTAACGCCTAGCGTCATATTTTATTGTATCCTTTTGCCATGGTAGCGGAATTAGACGAATAAGGTAGGCAAATCAACATAATATTTTCAGTTTAATTGTAATAATGTTGTACGGTGGCGCAATGCAAGTAACTAAGAGTAGACGAAGATAAAAAGTTAACTACATTAGGAAATTGGGCAGAGTTCGTAAAATGGTTTATTCACATTGTAACTAGTTGCGAACTAGACCCATATTTTTCCGCTTTTTAATATCCTGCTTGATTCTGGATAGATATCTAAAAATTTCACCAGATTCCACGGATCAATGAAAATTTTTCCAATATCCGCTAAAGGGTTAAGCCAACCAGGGTTTAAAATGTTTTTTAACGAACTTAAGAGGCTATACCAGGAAGACACTTAAAAAAAAAAAAATATTTTATTTGCTTTTTCGATAGTTTATATTTCCAAAAATATCTTGTGAAGTCGGCAAGGTCGTATCTTAAATAGTTTTTGAATAGCAGCGTTCTAAAGAGCGACATATATAAGTGAAATTTTAAACGCGTTTTTCTCGAAACGACGTTTTTCAAAATTGCTGACATCACAACTCAGCGAGAAATTAACCGATCGACTTCAAATTAAAACTGAGTATTGTTGAATACATTTACAATATAAAGATTTACGATCTTTTTGACTGGTTGAAAATTGTCAATTTGGCATTTTTTACCTAAGAAAACTAAACATTTTTTCAAAATTACGCCATTTTGTTAATTTTTGAAAGATCGTAGGTTATTGTATAGAAAATATCTTTAAGTTTAATAAAATTTTTAAAAAATTTGTTTCAGCTACGCATTCGGCCGGAATCATGCCAGCAGTTGAGGCACTTTTTATTCTGGCACCTCCGAAGACAGCCCATAATACCGCTATTTTTCAACATTTTTGTAAAAGAAAAGAATCCCGAAATATAGCTGAAAATATACCTTATTATATTCAAAGAAGTTCGAAATATTCATTCGTGTACTTTCTCTTAAAAAAATTCACGAAAATCGCTTCATTTTTCATGCGTCACACTGGTATAGCCCCTTAAGGTTAAGACAGTATTCTATTGGTAGAATTTCAATCCGTTTCATTGCCCAAAGACTGCATATGACTTTTGTYCTTATTACGACTTTTTTATAATCAATTTATTCCTCGGTCAAGAATTTTTAATTTTTTTGCAAATTCGCCCCTAAACATAATTACGCAAGGCTCAAAACGTGCATACGTTTCCAAAAGTCGTTTTGTAGATGTACTTAGCTTTTCCTTCTTTATTTAGTCTGTTTAACACAGCTTGAGTTTCTGGAATCGCCGTCGCTCACGGAGGCCTTCCTGATAATGATGTTTTGTATAAAAATGTGAATATATATATTTTTTTGTCTATATATATGTCTACAATATGTTACCAAAGCTTCACGACAATATCAATAAAGACGTAATAAATAGAGGCTTTAGGAAGAACGGAGCTTGTTTCAAACAGCTCCAATTTCTAGAAGAGGTTGAGCCTTTGCGCGAACGGTCCGTCAGGCTAGACCAGTCAGCTACTGCAGTCTTTGATTGTGTTTTACTCGAAACATCGTTTTCATAGCCGATGGTCATTTCTCAGAAATTATTGAAGCGATCTTAATGAAATTTTTCACAGTTTTTCTAAAACGGATTACCTCAAGATTTGTCGAAGTGTTTTTTTTTCCGTTTATAGTATATATATAATAGTATATATTTAGATTTTTTTCGCAACTATAAACCACTTACTTATTTTTCTAAACCATTCGAATTATCATGACCTATATTCATTTTCTAAACGATGAATTTTGAATTTTTGATTTTGGAAGAATTCTTCGGCTGTTAAGCCGATCACAACGTGGAGATATTTTTGTGAGATGCCTCCGAATGGCGTCCAATGGCGAAATTTCAAAAAACAAAAAAAAAAACAGAGATTATGAAAAAATCACATAATATTATTCAAGTATTGCTCTCTGATTCAATTATTTTAGGAAAAAAAAAACCAATGGTGAAAACAGGCATTTTTTCACGCGTCAAAACTCACGTAACCCTTTAATAATAGTAGCGAAAAGAATTTTGATTCCATATTTCTTATTCTCAGAAAGAATTCTGTAAGAGCAGCCTGTTTTAGAGCTTTTCACTGACCGAACCTATAGATATCATTATTTTTAAGATGAGATTAGAAGGATTGTATATGAAGATTTTTTCGGATGCCAGAAAAGGGTAAAGCCTCTAAAGAAATCAGCTAAAGAAAGTCAACAGAAAAAAAATTATGGAAGATTATGTAGTAGATTATATGTTCTCAAGAGACTAGTTTTCCAAATAATTACATCACTCTCGTACCTACTGGGGTATACCATACCATGGTAAAAATATAGATCCATGCAAGCACACGTATTAGAAGCCCGCTGAAATAAGCGAACCGCAGAATAAAAAAGACATCACACTTTATAATGGGCGCAACCGAAAAATATAGCACCTGCATAGCCAAAAAAAAGAAGAAGAAATGCAGGAGGCATGCAAC